CCTGCAGCCAGTCCTGAGCCTGCAGCCAGTCCAGAGCCTGCAGCCAGCCCTGAGCCTGCAGCCAGCCCTGAGCCTGCAGTCAGCCCTGAGCCTGCAGCCTGCCTTGTACCTGCATCCTGCCCTGAGCCTGCAGCCAGCCCTGAGCCTGCAGCCTGCCTTGAACCTGCATCCTGCCCTGAGCCTACAGCCAGCCCTGTTCCTGAACCTGTCGCTGAAGACCCTGCTGCCGAAGGTCCTACCGTCGAAGATCCGGCCACAGAAGATCTAACCCCAGATGGTCTGGCCGCAGTAGACCCTGCTCCCGCTGACCCCCCGTCCACGTCTGTTACTGATCCTGCCGCAGAAGACCCTGCCTCCGTTGACCCACCATCTACATTTGCTTCAGATCCTGCCGCCGAATATCCTGCCGCTGAAGATCCGACCACAGAAGATCCAGCCCCAGACGATCTGGCCTCAGAAGAGCTCCTCGCTGCTGACCCGTCTGCTGAGCTCCTTGCCGCTGACCCACCTGCTGAACTATTTGCCACTGACCCGTCTGCTGAGCTCCTTGCCGCTGACCCGCCTGCTGAGCTCCTCGACGCTGGCTCGCCTGCTGAGCTCCTTACCGCTGGCCTGCCTGCTGAGCTCCTCATCGCTGGCCCGCCTGCTGAGCTCCACGCCGCTGACCTGCCTGCTGAGCTCCTCGCTTCTGGTCCGTCCTCTGAGGTCCTCACTTCTGCTCTGCACATTGAAGTTCTTGCTCCTGCTCTGCCTGACCTGTTCCTGCCTGAACGGCCTCCCGGCCACCTGTCTGACCCATCTGAATGACCTGTGGGACGACCTCTCGACTGCCTGCCTGACCAGCCCTTGCCAGATGAATGGTCTCCTGGCCACCTGTCTGTCTTGTTCCTGCCTGAATGGCCTCCCAGCCGCCTGTCTGACCCGTCTGAATGGCTTGTGGGACGACCTCTCGACTGCCTGCCTGACCGGTCCCGGCCTGATGAATGGTCTCCTGGCCACCTGTCTGTCCTGTCTCCACCTGAATGGCCTATTGGACGATCTCTCGGCTGCCTGTCCAACCGGCTCCGGCCTGATAAATGGTCTCCTGGCCACCTGCCTGACCTGTCTGAACGGCCTGATGGACAGCCTCACGGCTGCCCGCCCAACCTGCTCCAGCCTGATGGACGGCCTCCCGGCCACCCACTCGACCTGCTCTGGCCTGATGGATGGTCTCCTGACCGCCCAGACTTTTGTGTTCCCCTGTTCGTATCTAGTTAGTTCCCTGGTTTTGTTTTTTGTCAATTTGTTTTTGTCATGTTTTGTCTTGGGCCCTCCATCCTTGTAGTTCCTCCTTCCACCCACTCAAGTCTTTTTTTTTTTGGGAGGGGAGATGCCAGGGGGCATCCTTGGGGGGGGGGTACTGTAGGAATGGCGCCATCTTATGGGGCTTCTCTGTCTGTGCACCTTGTGTGTCTCATTTAATCCTGATTGATTTCATCTTCTGTTCTCAGCTGTTTGTAATCACGTACTGTCTTGTCTGTGTATTTAAGCCTGTCAGTGAGTCTTGTTCTTTGTCGCATCGTCGTTGGGTATTGTCCTGTCCTGCCAGCCTGATTTGTTCCTTGTTCCCTGTTTTTGTAAGTTGCTGCCACGTCAGCCTTTTTGATGGGTGAGTTTTCTTTGGCACTGGAACAAGGCAGGATGTTTTCCACAACACTGGAACCTTCTCCTGGGTCAGGCTAAGGTTGAAGAGGTGCTGCAGAACCCCACAGAGGTGCTCTGCACAGACCTTCAGGACTCTGGGACTGACTGTACACCTCCTTGCAGTTTCTTATCTTGACTTTTAGTTGTTTCTGTGTGCTCCTCAATAATTCCTTGTCTCCCTCCCGGAAGGCTTTTTTTTTCTGGTTTAGCAGTTCCTTCAGTTCAGTGGTAATCCAGGGCTTGTTATTGGGGAAGCATCTCACTGTTCTGGTGGGGATGGTGTTGTTTACACAGAAGTTTATATAGTTGGTCACACACTCAGTCATGGCGTTGATGTCCTCTCCATGTGGCTGGCACAGTGCATCCCAGTCTGTAGCCTCAAAACAACCCCACAGGGCTTCTTCAGCTTCCGTTGACCATTTTCTCACTGTTCTCTTTATTACAGGTTGCCTCTGAACAAGGGGTTTATATTTTGAGCAGAGATACACAAGATTGTGATCTGATTTGCCAAGAGGGGGTCTTTCTTTAGCGATGTATGAATCCTTTGACATTTGCATAAAACGAGTCCAGCGTTTTGTTTTCTCTAGTAGAGCAGCTGGCAAACTGTTGGAAAGTCGTAAGTGTAGCAGAGAGTTAGACATGATTAAAATCCCCAGATATTGCAACAAACGCACTAGGGTGTTGTGTCTGTAGCTTAGCAACCTTGGAGCTGATGACATCACACGCAGTCTCGGCAACAGCATTGGGTTGAATGTAAACAGTTGCCAAAATAACACTGGTGAACTCCCGTGGCAAATAATATGAACGACAACTTAGTGCTAACAGTTCAATATCTGGACTGCAGAGACGACACTTCACAGTAACATGTCCAGGATTACACCATCTGTTGTTCACAAGCACTGTCAACCCACCTCCTTTGCTTTTGTCACTCCTCTTTAAATCTCTATCTGCTCATATGGTCAGAAAGCCTGGCAAGGAAATGCTGGAGTCGGGGATATGATCCTGCAGCCATGTCTCAGTGAAACACATAACACTGCATTCCCGATACTCTGGATGG